CAGTTGTCTTCAATGGAATAATTATTAAGTGAGTTATAGCAGTCCTCTTTAAACTGACGTTAATAGAAAAGGCATTGAGTGGTTGCCTTCGAGCACGAGAGCTTTGAGACTCTGAAAAGTTTAGAGTAATGGCTTCACCCAGTTGGACCAGATCCCATGATCAGCTCGTAAAGCTCCTTTTTATAGAATCAAGCCTTTTGGATAGCAAGGTTGCAGGGATTTGGTAACTACGGGGGTGGTACTCTATCTGGAGTCTTTCTGACTTTCATTAGAGCCCCAGGATACTAAGGACACCCTTCCTCTGTACTTTAGTGAAGCATTGATTAAAAATAGACACTTCTCATTAACAAGCATTATTTAAAGGTGGGGATCCAGAAAACGTAAACAACTATCGTCCGATATCAGTGTTGCCAGTACTTTCCAAGGTAATCGAGAGGCATGTACACAACTCGCTTTATAGTTATTTGTGTGTCAATAATCTAATTTATTCTAAGCAATCTGGCTTTCGCAAGCATCACAATACTGAAAGTGCTCTTATTAGAATTATCGACGAACTGCTGTTCAACCTCAACAATGATCGCGTGAGTGGTATGATTTTAATTGATCTTTGAAAGGCTTTCGACATGGTTGATCACTCGATTCTATTGCAAAAACTTCAAGCATATGGGCTTGACAACAAATCTTTAATCTGGTTTCGATCATATCTGAATGAAAGGCGCCAGTTGGTATCTATGGGTAACATAGAATCCCCTACTGCTTATGTTCATCATGGCGTACCTCAGGGCTCGATTTTGGGTCCCTTGCTTTTCATCGCCCATATTAACGATCCTCCACTACATGTGAGCTCGGCTCAAATTGACCTATACGTAGACGACACGACTTTGACCTCCGCTGCTAACTTTGACTCCGTTGATTTTCTTCAAAGTTCACTGACTACAGCAATTTCTGAGGTCAACCAATGGGCAACAGCTAATAAATTTCTTCTCAATGAGAGCAAGACAAAAGTGCTTACCGTTACTGGCAAACGACTCTCTACCAGGATTAACCATGACCTTGCTGTAGTTGCTAATGGAAAACAACTTGAGAATGTTCATTGTGCAAAGCTTTTGGGATTAGAAATCGACCACGAACTAACATTTATCCCTCATGTGGAGAAATTGAGTTAAAAGCTCTCGCAGCGGATAGGCATTTTAAAGAGAATTAAATATTGTCTAACTCTAAAACATCGACTTATTTTTATAACACCATGATAAGACTGGTAATTGATAATGTAAATGTGGTTTGGACGAGCTGTGATAAACATTGCCTTAACCGTGTTCTAAAGTGGCAGAAGAGGGCTGCTAGAGTTATTCTAGACGCCGATTGTCAAGCCTCCTCCGTCAAACTGTTCAATAAACTAAACTGGATACCATTTTTCGAACAGGCTAAACTAAGTAAATGCTACATTATATACAAGCGTGTACAGGGGCATGTACCTTCCTATCTTAAAAGTTTAATTAAGCTTACAAGCGACACTCATTCACGGCAGACTAGGTATGCCGACTTCAATATTGCTTGCCCTGTTATCAAACGTAAAACTGAAGGAGGAAGAACATTTACTGTGACTGCCTGTCAAGCCTGGAACAGCTTACCGCTATCCATGCGGAAAATAGCGTCACTAAATTATTTAAGGAACTCTCTTTAGAAAAACTTCTTTGAAGAGCAGCACCTTTTAAATAATTTTATTCTGTGATTTAGTTATACTTTTTTTTGTACTACCAATTTATTTTATCTTATCCCTTGTATTTTATTTGTTATATTATCTCATAGCTATGCCATAGTTTTTAACATCCGTATTGTACATAATTTTAGAGGGCCACGGGTTTTTTAGTATTTTTTACTATTTTAGTGCTACCCTCTTTAAATAAAGTCTTTACTTACTTACTTACTTACTAGGCAGAGAAGAGATGCAATTGCACTATGCGCTGCACCACTCACTCCACCTAGATTCGAATGAAAGTTACTGGCTATGATGGATTTTATGTGTCATTAAGCTCACCTACATTAATGAATGGAAAGTTTGTGAAGTGCATTTGTTATCCAAAAACTTCAAAACACTGAAACCACGTCAATAGAATTGATTGATCAGCTTTTTAGGTTGGAGAAAAAAAATTTGCACAATTTCAGTTCCAAGGAGTAAATCGTTAAAGCCATTTGAGGCTTTTGGTTGCTTTCAATATTTTTCCTTAATTTAACTAAAACATAGATTAATAACTGACGAAAATTTGCCAATATCCAAGACATCAACGGTGACTGTTTATGTAGGTGATCAATTAAAGGTGAACACAAATCCCTCACATGCACTTTATTTGTGGTCCTTTGTTTGTCTCCTTTTTTCCAGAGCGATTGCTCCCAATCTAATCAGGAAATCCATTAAATTTTTACAAAATCACCAATCTATTTGAGGGAGGGATAACCCTTGACTTAAGGGAAGATAGTTTTTCAACTTGCATATGTTAACAAATATTTCAAGCCGTTTGACCCATATTGCCCACATGACATAACTCAGAAAAGACCCACACAGATTACTGTAAATATGAAAATGGATGAGTTTTAAATTGTACAATTAAGTCTTAAAGTTCTAACACTCGATCCTTCCTCATTTATCGACCAGCTCACTGGCTTTTTCACTGTTGCTGTTGCCAACCTAAATGAAAAAGAATTACACACATTTTTTTAATTCTTACCGTCTTTCATGGTTCTCGCCACCTCAACAGAACTTTTTGGTCCATCGCCAACTGAAGTGAAGGCTAAAACTTGAAATTCATATTCTGTGTTTTTGTCAAGTCCAGTGACATCTTTACCCAATGCCGTTCCATTGTTAAAAGTTAAGGTGGTTGCTGGTCCTACAGAGCCGCTCTTTTGGTAGAACAATTTAAATCCTCTAATCATTCCATTTCTGGAGTCTTCTGTTAGTAACTGCCAGGTTGCTGTGACAGTTCTCGAAGTAGCTGCAGTAACAGTGAAGCTACTAGGGGCTTTTGATGGAACTGCAATTAAAAAAAAAAAAGAAAAGAACAGTGAAAAGTAATGTATACAACTAACTGATCATATAATATATCATACAATCATAATGTTCTATTACACTAACAATCATAATGTTGCAAATAAAATACTATTCAGTTTGGTCATTGAAAGGACAACCAATGCCCAGGTCAGCAGAAGACATGATCATCACCTGACCCCTGTATTTCCCAGTCAACAGCACTAATTTACACTCTATGATTTGTACATGTGCGGCCTTCACAGCCATCAGCGGGCCTGCAGCCTTCCCTGATCTTCGGAGACGAAGAACCAGCTATCATCATCATATCTTAGTCAATGGTCCTGAGGAATATATGCCTACGTATAATATACAGCACAAAAACTCAAAACAGGATTTTTTGGCATTAATGCTTATGCTTGTCAGCTATGCAATGAAAGATTCAAACGTGTGTGACCTCTCACGTAAGTGCGTTACTCTTGATTTAAAATTTCACCCTTGATCTTCATGTGACTCGTTTGATTACACTTTTAAGTTCTCGTTTTTCAATAACATATCAGTGTTGGCCTTTGTTAAGGCAAGTTCTTGTTCTAAATCATCGGTTATTTCACTCGGCCTGTTCACGTCAATAGGAGGAAATAACTGTGAGTCGTTAGTCCTTTTTTCGTTTTCATTTTGCTTGACAATTTTCTTAGATCTATTACAACTATAGCCTTTTTTCCCTTTTAGTCGAACCATCATTTTCATCATTTTCATCATGACCTTCTACATAATCAGATGCGTTTAATTTACTCTTTGGTTGAGAACGAGGAATAAATTTCTCTTTAAAATCATCTCTTGGCTGGAGTCTAGTCATGCAATGGAAAATTAAAGACCTAGCAAGTCTACAATAATGTAGATGGAGGAAAATTTCAATTATCTCTTATTGACAGGTTCTTCATAAAAGTCATCTGATTTTTCTTCTTTCCCTTTGATCTAACACATACCATCTTCCTTTGTTCGCTCCACCTTACTGGGGCTCTTTGGTCCATTACCAACTGATGTAGACGCCAAAACTTGAAATTCGTACTCTGTGTATTTTTTAAGCCCAGTGACATTTCTTCTCAATGTTGATCCACTGTTGATAAGCAAGGTGGTCACTGACCCTGCTGAAGCTCTCTCTTTAAAAAACAATTTAAACCCTGTAATCATTCCATTTCTTGAAGCTAATGGTGGTAATTGCCAGGAAGCTGTAATAGTTGTAGAGGTGACAGCAGTCACAGTCAAGCTGCTTGGAGCTTGAGAAGGAACTGCAATTGAATAACATAATAACTAGAATGTACCTGGTACTTTTCAACCGTCTGTTGTGAGTAAAATATTACTACCTAAGTCACCAGTGTCTCCTTATGGCTGCTGAAAGTTAAAGATAATGATGCCCAGAAGAAGACATGACCATGACCTGTATTTTCCAGTCACTGAAAGCCCTAATTCCCAGTCTAAGGCTAGTAGCTGTACGACATCTTAGTCATAAAATGGTCCAAAGGAATTCCTATTGCATATTATATAACAACTCAGAATAGGATTCGTAGGAATCCAACCTTGCGCTTTTTAAATGACCAATGGAATTGATGCCTAGAAAGTTTAAAATGTATAAATGGAAAAGGTCAGTTAACTTTTACGGGTTTTTAAAACAAGCCATCAATTCTCCTCCTTCATCTTGATCTAAATATCACATACCATCTTCCTTTGTTCTCTCTACCTCAACAGGGCTCTTTGCTCCATCACCATCAGATGTAAAAGCCAACACTTGAAATTCATATTCTGTGTACTTATCAAGCCCTGTAACACTTCTGCTCAATGTTGGTCCATTTCTTATAGTCAAGGTTATTGCTGACCCACCAGAACCTCTCTTTTTGTACAAAAGTTTAAACCCTGTAATGGTTCTTCCATGCCTGGAAAAGACTGGTGGTAGCTGCCAGGAAGTTGTAATGCTGGTAGAAGTGCTTGCAGTCAGCTCGAAGGCAGAAGGAGGTTCTGATGGAACTGAAATACATGTAAACATCAACAGTTGCATGTTTTAATTTTTAGTTGATCATTGATAAGAGATCAATGTAAATCAAACATGGTTGTGAACTTAGAATGCATTAGATATTCCCCAGAGCAGTGTGGAGGAACATCGATCATGAGTATGGACTGTACATGCATAATTTAGATACATGTATACTATATTTTTAAATACATGTTTTTTTAGAAGATGCCCTACAAAATATAGGAGACATACAATTATGTTGCAATAGCAACCTACTTGGTTCCAGAATTTACAATGTACAATCATGATACAATCAGATTATATGCTGCATCGTATCAAGTATGAATA